TTAGTAGCTCACCCATTTTAGGCTATTCCTTACATTCATTGTCTCAAAATCTAGGATGTTACACATGGCTATGGAAAACATAAAAGAAATATACTTGCATTTGCATCTCCTATCATCATCAAACAACATAATGCATATCAACGCACAAGCTTACACATCAAGCATATAAGAAAGATAAGTTCACTACCTTTTGTCTTTAAGCTTTCTCTTGATCCTTTTTCTCACAAGCATCAAGGTTGCTTGATAAACCTTCCCATTCATCTTCCTTGACATCTCATGACCCTAGATATATCAACACATAATTGTCATTTATTCATTAGAGCCATGGTAATAAACAACATTAACGCTTTGTCCTCTTTAAACCATCTTGACTTCTAACTTTTGACCTTAATTTCTAATCTTTCTAAAATTAATTCCACCTGCTATTTTCCCAAAATTTTACATGGAGAATCCATTCCCAAGGTCAAATTAAACAAAAACCAACTACTCCCTACTCAAACTAATCTGGCCGAAACATAGGGTCTTAGGGCTCAAAATTTCATTTCAATTCCAATACTTTCAAACTTATTTTCTCACCTCTACCCAACACAGTTTTTCATTCTAAACACATTGAAAGTATCAAAATCATCAAAATCTAATTCTAGCCCCATGAACCAGCTCTAGCCAAAATATCCCTAGATGCACAACTATGAAATCTTTCACAAATCATCTCAAAATCACTTGATTATCATTCTTTTTAAACCTTTAAATATGATTCTAGCATCAATCAATCTTTTTCATATTTTAAATACAATTTAATAGCATCCTAACCTAGGGTTTTAAGCTTCCAAAATCTATCAAAACCATAGCTAAGCTCAACAAGACAAATAGCAAGATAAACTACATCAAAAACCATGCTCTTACCTTGTCTTGAAGCTTGGATTTGTCTCGAGCCTCATGATCTTCTTCTTCTCCCTTTTTCCTTGTAGAATTTCATGCTCCCTCCCTTAAAACTCACTATGGCCAAAATCTTATGCAAATGGGAGGGGAGGAGGTATTTATGATGTAAGCCAAATTTACTTTATGGTAAGCTTTCAAATTTACCATTTACTTTCATCATGGACATTTGTATAAATCTTACTTCTATTTCCTTGTGATTTGGCCACATAAACCCTCTTAGGTGTCCTTATACTTAATGCCCAAGCCACCTCATGGGACACCTCATAAGCCACATATTACACATGTATGCAAAACATAATATTTTATTACATAATTCATTCATCTAAACATTCCCCTTAACAACTTGTATTATTTGATCCATGTCCCCTCATCAAATTTGTATTAAAATAGGGAGGAAAAAAAGAAAAAATTCGTGCATAACCATTCCCTTGGCTATTTCTCTACCTATTTTACGATTTTACGTCATATCAGATACTTTTTCGGGTCCTGATTTACCTGGAAACCCCAAGACATGTTCTAACACCCTTTTTTCATCACAATTAACCTCACATGGCATTATATAACATGGCTAAAGAAGAGTGATGCTCTTCCCTTGTTCTTCCATTAAAATATTTAATAATATTTATTTCGGAGTAAATTTGACCGAATTCTCTCTATCGATTTATAACTTTGAGAATCTGTCTTAGGGTACTAATACTATTTTTCATCGTAGGGAATTTCTCTAATTTTTCTCGATTAAAAAGTCAACCCATAAATGATTCATTTTGACTTTTCTTGGATAGTGTATAAATAGACTGTAAATTCTATTAAAGCCAACCTCTTTGCTTTATGGGGACAAAATTATTTTTAAAACCCTGTGATAATTTCTCAAGTATTATTTCTCATTTTTCTCCAATTATATGATACCTCCTCATATTTTAAATAATTCAATTTTGACTAATATTTATAATTAGCCAAAACCCTGGGAATTTCATAAATTTGCTCTAGGGTTATTTTTATCATTTTTAACCCCTTACAGGCCTCAAACATTATTTCCCTTTTTGTGGAATTTTTCTAGTATTTTCAGGCATCCTTTCCATCACTGTCCTTTCCGGCCCGAAACTTTCTACATTTATGATTAGATCCCTCCTCGGGTTTAGCCTCAAGAGTCATCTCACTAAAGTTCCCAGCATAACCTTTGGTCCTTGATCGTCTTTAATTGTATACTCGAGCCATGGAGACTTTATCAGAATCTCTAACTTGTGTATCTCGCGGTTCCGGAAAACTCTTACTTTGCTGTTTGGTCTCTAAGAATCCTCTCGTTCTTCTAGGGAACTTATAAAACTCCTGCCAAAGGGGATTTGATAGCTTGCCTATTTGAGGCTAACTCTGATACTTTTAGACCAAAAATTTAGGATGTTACAAGTAGAAAGCACCAGCCTCTTCCATGGCTGTGGGTTGGGAGGGATTGAACAGAATGATTCTTTTTTGTTTAAGGGAAAGAGTGAATGTGGGAGAGAAAAAGGGAGAGAGGATGAGTTGTACAAGTTAAAATGTATGTGGCTGCCATATGAGTAATTAGGGATCAAAATTAACGACCAATGTAAGTGGTGGCTAAATTTGGGTTAAATTGCTACAAAATTATACTTCCAAGGCATATTTAAATAAACAAATTTTGGGTGTCGAGCCCTCATCCGTAGAAACTTCTGAACTATTTTGATAACTTAACCTATATTATATTGTTATGTCATATATTATACAAGACTCGGGAATTACATTGTGTGTGTCTATGAAAATTAAAAAATGACATAAAAAGAAGTTGAAAATTGTAATATTTTAATTTAGACACCTAGGACTTCAAAATCTCAAGAGAGGAAGTGATGTCTAATTGGGTATTTTGTAAATGTAATTAAATAACAAAAATGCCCCTATACCAAAAAGTTTATTAACTAGTTGTGAACTTACAATGACAAATATTAAATAACAAATGACAAGAAATATACTGATAATGACAAGTTATTTTTTAATAAGTTGTGAACTGATAATAATAAGTGTTAAGCAACTAATGTTAAGGAATACACTAGTAATAACAAATTTGATAGCTTTTTATTTTTTAAAAAAAGTCTAATATAATGGCATTTAGTCATTTGACTACATTTGCAAAATACCAGATTATGCACTACTTCCTGCTCTAGGATTTTGAACTTTTAGGTATGTGAATTGAAACATTACAATTTTTAACTTCTTTTTATGTCATTTTTTCTTAAAAAATCTGTACATATAAAATATTTACCTAATTTTACTTTAAATAAAAGATTTTTGAAGCATCAAAGTATCATATATATATATATATATATACACACACACCCACATACTCCTGTTAATTATTTGATTCGAAAAGATAAATGAGATTAAATATATAACCTTACTGGAAGTCATTGTCTATCTTAATTAATTAATAATTAATAGAAGATTAGCCGTTTTAGGTTTTTATAACTTCTAATAATCTCATGAAAATATTATATATAAAATGTATTTTTCAAATTAGTATAATGGGATATAAATATTTAGGAAAATTAAGGAGGAGGACGTAGAAAACATAATATTTATGGGTAAGTATCTTAAAATCTATAATTATTTATAAGGACCAAACGCTAAAATATAAATAAAAAACCAATAAATTACCATTAACTGACTCCCTATGTTTTCTCTTATTACACTTTCATTGAACATTTTCCTTCATAACTCCTTAATTTTTACTAAAATTTTTCATAATATTTTTCTCATAATTATTTGCGACAAAATTTATTGAAATCAAATCAACATTATTTATTATTAATCCAAAATATCTTGTATACCTAAACACAAAATGAAATGAAATTATTTATCAACATGAATCATGCTAGCAATAATCAGTTTTTATTTTTGTCTTCCTCCAAATTGAAATTCTCTCTGTTTTTGTTTTTTTTCCAAATATCTCATTCTTTACTTTTTGTTTTATATTGTTTTACTACTATGTGTGTGTATCTATATATATATTGTATAATATTTAAATTTAAATAAGCATATTTTAATGTAAAAAATATAAATTAATGTTGAAAGTATGATGTTTGGACGCTTTGAGGAAAAAAACAGAGAGAAATTCAATTTGAAAATCCAAAGGAAGACAAAAATAAAAACTAATTATCGGTGGCATGATTCATGTTGATAAACAATTTTATTTCATTCTGTGTTTAGGTATATAAGATATTTTGAATTAATAATAAATAATTTTGATTTGATTTCAATTAATTTGTTGCAACTAACTTTAGTAAAAATTATGTAGATTATAAAAATATACATTCAATGGAGGTATGATAAGAGAAAATGTAGGGATTTAGTTAGGTGTAACTTGGTAGTTCCATGTTTATATTTTAGTGTTTGGTTATCATAAATAATTATAGTTTTTAAGATACTTAAGAATAAATATTATTTTTCTAGGACCTTCTCCCTAATTTTCTCTAGATATTTTAATTATACTTAAATGTAAATTTTCTATGTGAACAACTATGTGAATAAATTATTATTCATACATCTATTGTTTTTCAGAAAATAGGAAAATTTTACTTTCTGAAAATTCTTAACCAAAATATAGAAAAGTAAATAGTATTTATATCCCGATTTAAATCTTGAAAGTGCTGACCTAAGATGAAAATTAAAGAAAAAATTAAAGAAAATAGTGAGGCGTGAAATTAAGAAGAGACAAAAGAATGACCTTACATGTGGCATTCGCAACCCACGAAAAAAATCACGTTTGATTAGGCTTGTTCGATCATCCTCCGCCTTCGCCTGCAGCTGTTATTGGTAAGGAACAAAAAAGACCGGGCATTAAACCGGTCGAGATAGTGGGTCAAGGGTTACTGGTCGAACCGAGGTTGAACCGGGGTCGGACCGGTCATATTAAAATAATATAATTAATTCATAATATTAAAATAAAACAAAATTCATAAATAATAATCACTAAAAAAAGATGAGAAGCTACAAAAGTAGTAGTTTAAATATTTAATAGTACCAAGCAAACATTAATGAAATGTATATCTTAACTAGGGAAAATCAAAATCATCACTAAGATCATTTGCATGGGCTGAGATGTCAACAGCTGGACAAGGAAAAGCAGGAGCAACAACATCATCTTGTAAAGGTGGAGGGTCAGCAATGTTCATATCTTCATCACCTATATAAGACAGTGACCAACATTAATGATTATACAAATAACTATATATTGGTATAAGAATAGAGTCTTAATTAAATATATAAACCTTCATTAGCACTCTCAAGAGTTGTTGAATTAGCAGTGCCGTCATTGTTAAGGACGCTTTCCAATGTATCCACATCTCTATCATCAAACTCCGGAGTGGGATCTTCTTCAGCCACCCAAAAATCCACCATATCAATGTTTTCATAGTCAATTGGATCATAACTTTTGCTCTTCTTCAATGTACTCCTTTAATGACAAACAAAATTTTAGATAAATATAAATCAATTAAAAAAAACTAAAGTTATTCACTGTTTCCAAGATTACCTATGCTTCAATCGCAGATTATAGTTGGTGAAAACCAAATCATTCAGTCTTTTATGTTCCAATCTGTTTCTTCTTTTCGTATGAATTCTTTCAAATAAGCTCCAATTCCTCTCACAACCAGAAGAAGCAGAAGTTTGACTAAGAATGCGCATTGCAACACGCTGCAATTCTGGAACTGAACAACCATAATATGTCCACCATTCATCTACATAATAAAATAATAATATATTTAGTATCCAATACTATATAGAATTAGTGAATAATCATGAATATAATAAATAATAATAATACTTACAAGGGTCTAGTTTTTGAGCGGCTTTTTGAACATGAAGGCCTGCTAAAAGATTCCTTGCCTTCGCGATAAGTAGTCGCTTGTTTCATCACTAGGAAGCCATCAATATCTTCATCTGAGTAAGACTCAACCACATCAATCAAAGCCATCATTAACTTTGACTTGCTAGGACAATCTGGACCATATGTAATTGCAGGATTCAACAAATACGATGCCGCATGAAGATTGGTCTTCAGATGTCTATCCCATCGAGTTTGAATGATTCTTGTATAAGGCTTATACAATTCCTTGTTCTTCTTAAACATCTCCTTAATTGCTATTTTTTCCCTTCTCATCCCTTCATAAACGTAAGGCAATGAAGGCTTCTCATCTGAGTCCACAATTCTCAATAATTTGATGAGAGGAGATACAATCTTCACAACTTGATAACAGTCATTCCAAAACCGGTTATCTAAAATGATCACTAAAATTTTTCCCTGCCTCAGTCTTTGATAATCTATGGTCCACAAAATGCTTATCAACAACCAGAGCCTGCAAGTCATTTTTATGCATATATATGCTGTGCAATGTAATAAATGTCGTAGCAAATCTTGTGGCACCAGGACGCACAATTTCTTTCCAACTCGGTCTCCTCCTCAACCATGATAAGAAAACCATATAATTATATGCAAAGATAGTTACTTTGGATGCCTTTGATGCGAGGTCTGACACATTTGGCATGCTGGAAAAGTCTTTTAATATAAGATTCAGACAATGAGCAGCACAAGGTGACCAATAAATATTTTTATACTTTTCTTTAATCAACCTACCACATGCTACATAGTTAGCTGCATTGTCAGTTACTACATGGACAATATTCTTAGGACCAATCCACTCAATGACTTCACAGAATAGAGTAAATAGAGTTTTGGCATCTTTGACTAAATCTGAAGCATCAACAGACTTCACAAACACCATTCCGTGTGTAGAATACACTAAGAAATTTATCAAAGTACGTTGCCTCACATCAGTCCATCCATCAGCCATGAGTGTGCAGCCATTTTTTTCCATTTAGCTCGATGGCTATCTATTAGTAACTGACATTCTTTTTCTCCAATCACTCAGCAAATTGGTTTTGAAATCATAAGCACTAGGGGCTTTAAACCCAGGCCCAATTGAAGCAATGCCATCTACAGCTTTTTGAAATAACGGGCAATCAAATGCTTTAAATGGAATGCAATTCACAATGGCCCATTCAGCAATCAACATTTTTACATTGTGTTTTGCTTCTTTGGTTGCTAATGCACTTTTAATACCCGGTTGAGAATCAGGGGTTGTGCGAGGAGCAAAATAATTATCCATACTCCCTATAGATTTTCTCTTTTTTGCACTACTCATGATAATTGGTGAATCAACATGAGTATCTTCAATTTCCTCTTCTATATTTTCAATGGCTTTTTTCTTTGAACACTCTTTCAAAGATTCTGTCATTCTATGACGTACATCATGCGAAACTTTTTTACAAGAAGATATTTGACCAGTGATACCAACAAGGTGTTGCTTCATCCTATTTATTCCACCACCTCTATAACTATTACCACAAAAAAAGCAGGTGTATACATTTTGTGTCCCTTCTTTCTTATAAGCAACATGTGCCCATGCATGATCAGTTTTTGCACGCAATGAAGAAATTGGTGTAGGAGGATTGGAAGTTTCAGTATTGGGAGTGGAAGATTGAGTATTAGGAGTGACATTATCATTTCCAGAACTTTGATTATTTGAAATATCCATCACTGCTACCTCTTGAAAAGAAAACAAAATCCATATAAAATCAATTTAATCCAGAAACAGATGCATTAAGATGGCATATATGCAATGACATTGACATTCAGAAAAACATAATTCAACTTATTAGTGATTAGTTTTTGACACATTTGCAAAATCTTTCACTCTTATAAGACTTGGCTGAATAAAAATCAAACCACAGTGGCGGTTATATATAGTCTACAATCAATAATCAACAAGACTCATTCAGGATCTCATTTATATATAGTCTATAATCAGTAATCAGCAAGACTCATTCAGGATCTCATTTATATATAGTCTATAATCAGTAATCAACAAGACTCATTCGGGATCTCATTTACAGCAAGACTAATCACAGTAAAACAGCAAAATTCATTCGATACAAAATTACAAACCAAAATGAAAATGCAAGAAAAGGCCAGAATACTAGAAAATATTAGCTGAGAGGAACTGGGAATGACAGCAGCAGCAGCAAGGAGACGAGGTCACGAGCAGCAGCAAAGTTCGATGCGTATGCCAAAAAGCTTGGAGAGACATACGAATTAGGAAATAGGATCAGAAATTCAAGGGTTTAGGGGTTTAGAGCATAAAGAGGAACAGGGGAGGCAGTATTGGAACTCATTCAGTCATTCTTACCATTTCAAGTTTAGGAGAGTGGTGAAGGCCAAGTAGGGCGAACTCAGCTTGAGGGAGACTTGCGAGCTCAGACCCTCTGACTTGCGAGCTTAGATGTTGAGGGAGACCGGAGATCAGACTTGCGATGAGGTTGAGGGAGACCGGAGATCCGACTTGTGATGACTCTGCAATTTTGGAGCTTTGCCGAACAAGGAGGTGTGTCGGAGTCTCGGAGACCGTCGTGCCATCAATGACTCTAGCGAGCAGGGATTTTGGAGGAGGCGATTTGGTTTTAAGGAGGGAGGCCGGAGGTGAGCTGTTGCGATACTCGGGGAGCTGATGAGAGGAAGAAAGAAACAGATTCAGGGGGAAAAAATTGGGGAACTCGACGGCAAAGGAGAAACCGAGAAAGGAAGTTCGTTTTTTTTTTTTAGTAAAACAACGTCGTTTAGGTTATATCAGCCAAAAAAAAAAAAAAGGGAACCGGGTAACCCGCCCAACCGGGTTTACCCGGTTCTGTACCGGTTATGACCGATTCAACCGGTTCTTTACCGATTCGAATCTCCCCCGGTTCATTTGGTGAACCAGACCGGACTGCAGACCGGTTCACCGGTTTTCCGGTCGAACCGACCAGTCCGGTCCGGCTTTCTTTACATTGGTTATTGGCCTTTGCTATCGATCTAATTGAGTGGGGAGAATAAAATACTTTTTTATATATTGATTTATTAGTTAATTAATTAATAGAACATTAATGGGTCTAGGATTTTATATTATATTAATAAGTTGCATTTTCATATTAGAATTGGGAATAATGCTGTGTGTCTATAAAATATTTCTGCATATCACATATTTAACTTATTTTTGTTTTAATTTGAATAAAACATTTTCCAAGCATCACTTAAAATATTATATATCTACACTCCTGTTATATCGTAGAATAAAATATTATTTCGTCAAAAAATATCAATGTTAATTATTTGATTTAAAAAGATAATAAGATATAAATCTGTAGCCTTAGAAGTCATTGTCTATCTTTGTATATAAATTAATTAACATTTAATGATTAACAGAAATAGATTGGCTGTTTTAGGATTTTTCCCCCCAGGATATTCTCATAAAAATACTATAACCTAACTATAAATTTTATGAAAAATTATCTAAATAAATTATAATTCATACATCACTTATTTTTATGAAGACGGGAAAAATTAATTTTGAAAAAGGATTGACAGAAATATGGAAAAATAAATAGTATTTATATACTCCTCCGGTCCTTAATATAAGACCCAATTGTTGAGTTGGTTTTGATCCTAAATATAAGAACTATTTCTCATATTTATTAGTTTTCTCTAAATTACCCTTATGGATACTCCCTCAATCATAATCAAATAGAAGAGGGAGATGAGGTATTAAGAAAGATGATTATGGTGTTTTAGGAAAAATGTGTCACTTTTCTTATAATTAACCAACTTACCTAACTTTCTTAATCTAATCAAATTCGTTAAATGGGTCTTATATTAAAGACCGGAGGAGTATCAATTTATCAAGTAAACATGATTTTTCATTTTTTTTATTATGTTATGTTTTATAGGGAAAATCCAGAAGAAAAAGACCTTTAAAATTTTAAAATCTTAAATCATGAATGATTACAAAAATATGTTGTTGTTTGCTTTTTAAATATTGTCAGTTGTTATTAAATTGTAATAAATAAAACTGATATAAAATTTTAAAATTTAAAGTTTTTTTTTTGGGATTCTTCCTTTTTTAATATGACATTATTTTGTTATATTTTCACTGGAGGCTTATGATATATATATATATATATAGTGTGTATCAACCTAATTTTAATTTACACAAAAGATTCTGGAAATATCATTTTAAACATTATCTAAAACTCCTAAAGTGAATAAGATATAATGACGTTCACGAGTTTAAGTAAATTCGTGGTAAAGATTTAAACTCGAATCGTAAACTCATAAGAGTTTACTTCTTTCAATAAATAGTTATTAAAATATATAATTAAATAACTAAAATATAAAAATTACAATTATTTGGTTTAAATATATTTGAAATTCAAAATATTGAGTTAAATCCATCAATATTAGAAATTCTTAAGAATTTTTATGAAGTTTATGTATGATATCACTAAACATATTCAAATTAACAAAATAATTTGAAATTCATAGGACATTTTAGGGTGCTTTATTCCATAGTTGTCTTAGGATATCAATATATCTTATAATACTCTTCCACCAAGCCTTATCTTCAAATGGCTTATCCGTGGCTCTTGACACAAGTCACATTAGTTAAATAAACATAATTTTTGGGCTGCTATCAAGCCAAGTACAAGCATTTATGATGTGTTTGTGGCTTGGGCAAATAATTTTTTGGCTCCGTGTAGTTCAACCTGAATGATCGATGGTTTGGAAAACAAATCCTGGAATTTGTGAGATACAAATAAAATTTGAAATTTAAAATGTATTAATTATTTTTTATTTTTTATCTTACAAACTCAGATGTTGCTCCTCGGTACATCTCATCTCTCTCGCCCTCCCTCAGGAATTCATCAACTTCTACCTCATGCCCCCTTTCTCTCTCTTACTCTCTCTTTTTGGATTTTTCTTCTCTAGAGCATTCATCTTCAAGCACAATCAGTGCTCCTTTATGCATTCATCCAAGCATCTCTGTCTTCCCTGAAACATCCTACCTTTAACCCCTCAGAGTATGCATTTGGAAGCGTTATGGTTTAAGCGATTCACAAAACAAGCTCGTAGATTGAACTTTATGATTGGTTCTCAGGTTACTATTTACTGGTAAATTTTAGATTTTTAGTCCAACTTTGAGAGGGCATAACTCTTAGCACATAGATCCGTTTTAAGTGATCTACTATTTGTTTTAAAGCTCAGGACGTGTGCTTTAACCATATCAAATTTCATACCTTAACTCATTCATTTGATAGGTCAAAATGAAGCTAGAAACTAATTGCTCTAGGACCTACGTTTTATCCATCAAACAATTCTTACTCTAATTCTCCCTTCATTCGAACATGCAACAACTAGCTTTATGGATTTCCATTCATTCATATACTTTGAGTTGCATGCCATTATGTTATACATCAAACATTACATCACATTTCATGCTTGACATATCCACAATTAATTACATAATTAGTGATGTTAATCATTACATTGAAACGCATGTAAATTCTCCACTTTCATTGCTTCCATCTTCTTGCCCTTCTTCATACATGCCTTCTCTTTATCATTTGACCTACTATAGTTGGCTAAGGGAAGGTGAGATTCAAGAGAATCTCAGAAGCAAACAATAACTACCCAAACATACATGGCAAGCTTGGCATTCATAACATGCTTGCAACTTGACATTTATATAACATAGTGACATGTTTGGAAATCATCATGCGTTAATCATAAAACACATAGGCCTATAACACATTTTAAACATGTTCAAAATCACAATGGATAAGTTCATAAAACCATATAAAAATAGAACATGTCATACATGCAAGCAAATACCAAGCACATAAGAGTAAGGTAAAGTTTGCTACCTTGCGTCCTTAAGCTTTCTTCTTACTCCCTTTTGCTTCCAACCATTAAGGTTGCTTCCTC